ATTAAAGACGCATCTCTTTAGTCAAGCATTCACATAATGCTTACCTTCTAGTCCTCTGTTATGCCATACGGAACCGTTTGCCACTGAAACTGCTTAACGCACCAGTGGGGCTCGACAGCCTTTTAGACAAACGGGTCGGCGCGTATGGTTGGGTTGCGGAGAGTTCGGGTTACGGAGAGTTTGTGAGTTATAACGGAAATTATTATGAACATCAGCTATGCTAATTATTTCCCATCTGCCTTTCTGCTGTTATCTCGGGACGCTTGTCCCGAGAAAAATGGCGTTCGTCAGGTCCAGTTTTGTGTCCAGCCTCTCACGGGGATTTCGGATGCCCCAACGCCTGTGATGAGACGACTCAACGCCTGTGATGAGACGACTCAACGCCTGCGATATGTTATGGCGCCGTTTGATTCATAAACAATATTTATATTTAATATTTATATTTAAACAATATGAATGTAAGCCAGAGGAGAACTGGCCCCCGACTGAGCCTGGGTTCTCCCAAGGTTTTTTCTCCATCCAATCTGATGGAGTTTGGTTCCTTGCCACTGTCGCCTTGCTTTTGGCTTGCTTTGAGCTTGCTCAGTTGGGGTTATTTATTTAGTGTTTAGCAATGTTGTTGATCTGTGTTGTGCTACTTACATGTTATCACTGTGAAGCTGCTTTGATACAATCTGTATTGTGAAAAGCGCTATATAAATAAATATGACTTGACTTGACTTGACCTTTGAATGGTAGGACAGAACTGTGCATTTTCTGGTCGTTTCATCAGGAAGATGATTCCAGAACTGAACTGAACAGTTCACAAACTGTTTGAACTGTTGAACTGAATTAATGAACTGATCGGGTTTATTGCAGAGAAATTTGATTCTGGGAAATTTGAAGTGTTTATGTGAAGTGAAAATCTTGTGTTTTGTTCTGTTTATTTTATTTCACTTGAATCTGGGTGAATTGGTTTACATAAAATTATTATTTGTTAACTTACCTATTGGTCTGAGTATTCACTGCTGCTGCATCATCTCTCTCCTTGAGCGAATCTGAATCTTCTAAATCATTGGTCCATTAGTGAATTTGATGTGAACTTGTCTTTGGGTGCAAGTTAAGGTTACAATTATCTTTGACAGAAATTGGGATTGCCATCTCCGACATAGGTGGAACAGTTACCTGGGCGACACTGATAGCAGAACTTTGAACCGGAATCAGGGACTGGGGTGGTGAAAGAGGCACTGACGTGTTGTACAGGTGTAAACGTGCATTTGGTATGTCAACAGTGACGGTGTGTTCAATCAAGAAATCCCATCGTATTAGGACAGGATGAGTGGCTGTGCGTACCACATGGAAAACATGAGAAAATGTTACATCTCCAATATGTATGGGCGCTATCACAGAGCCAATTATGTCCAATAACTGTCCCGTTACCGATGATGCTAACACAAATGACTTGCTGATAGACTGGGTAAACAAAGCTGGAATCGACCTACGACAGTCATCTGTAATGAGGGACAGACCTGACCCAGTATCAACCAAAGCATGGAGGTCTGTACCCGCCAGTCCAATCTGAATGAACGGTGTAGGTGGGGAAGATTTAAGACTGACTGTACTAGAATGGACCACTATAGGGGATGAAGCTGGCATTTGGTCCCCAATGACAGCTTCTACTCGTTTCCCCGCTGTGGTGAGGAAGGGGCCTTGTGGGATGGGGAGAAATGTACATGTCGTGTGGGTGATCTTGGTGAACTTTGGGAATGGGGGGGTAGCGATGGAGAGCGGTTTCTGTGGTAAGTGGAAGTTCTGTACTGTGGGTTTGGTGAGGGGGAACGAACATAACGGGCTCTGCATTCATATTCAAAGTCAGACCGGCGGTCTCGTGTAGGCGATTGGCTAGAGCTAGAGCTACCATAATGATGTCTATGGGGGGTGTATTCGTCATATTGTGTGGTGTGAGGAAGTTGTGACTCACAACCTCGGGAGGGAGGGGAGTAGCTTGAATGTCTTTGCCCAGAGAAGTCATCCTTTGGAAGTGCTCGATCAGTTTCTGCATGGCCCTGGTAGCGTCGTGGGGGACAACAGTCATCCTCAAAGTGTCGTTGTCGACCTCGCTGTGTGCGTTGTGAAGAACAGCAGCAATCCTGGCAGTAGTGATGATCATACCGATCAGGCTGGCGATGGCGTGCTGTGATGTCGTAGTCCACGGCTGCGCAGGCCTGATGGGGAGAGTGTGTGGAAGACGTCACCTCGCCCTGAAGGCTGGAAATCCGCCTCGAGAGCTGGTCCATGCGTTCATCAGTTCGTCGCAGGTGAGATTGACGTAAGTCATGCATGTCTGTTCGGAGTTCAGCAATGGCTGCTGCTAATTCAGTGATGTGAGTCGCAGTCACTGAGTTGGCCGATGGTGGTGAATTTACTGTGACAGGCATAACAGCTGCAGGGTTGGCAACACTAATGGCCAACTGAGCACGTTCACACTGTGTGGCCACTTTCAAGGCATTGTCTAAAGTCGTAGCACCGTGCTCATGGATTTTCAGTTGAAGTGATGGGTCTAAGCCGGTAACAAATCTGCGAAAAATTTCACAATTTCGTGCTGCTGTATCGTAATGAGGAAATGCTTCAGTCACTAGATTTGTGAGCTCAGCAGCATAGACTCCAAGGGGTTCTTGTGGTTTACGTGGACGAGCATTCAAAAATGTCTGAAATGTGGCCAAAAAAGTTGTACGTCCAAAAACATTGCTCAAACTAGCTTTAGTCAACTCATAGTCAGCTTTCACCGCAGGGGAGAGAGACTGCCAGTATGCAAATGCTGAACCAGTAAGCTTTACTGGGAGAAGTTTGGCCTTATCCAGTGGTACAGCTGAGACATTTAGTGCTACCTCAAATCTCTGAATCCATGCACTAAATGGCTCTTTACCATCTCCGGAAAAATGAGCAGGGAGGTCAATTTTAAATGGTAGATGTGAGCTTGCGTCCTCTGCTGCGTATCTGTCTCTCTGCATAGGAACTGCGTCATTCTCATCGTCCGCCATTTTAAGCGAGAGGAAGAAAGAAGAAAAAAAATGCACGTAATCCGATCTTGCAAAAGAAACACATGAAAAAATTAAACAGTCTTTAAACGGCTCTGCAGATTAAAGCGGCGATATTCACGTCGTTCAATACGGGAAAAAACAAGCGTCCCAACAGAAAGCAAGCCAACCAACGCTGCCACCAGTGTAACGCGCGTGAGTTATCCTCTGCTTATAGTTCTTACCCAGCGCTGTTCTGTGGGTTCTTGGCCTCGCTCTGTTATCACCACAATAAGGAGGGCACTGACAAAGAGCTCCGGTGACTACAACACTTGTTTATTGAACATCACAACATCGTGAAATGGCCGCAGCCGATTACACAGTGCATCTCGTCTGTTCCTCTCTCTGAACCCCACTACAACTGTTTTTCTCCCGCGCTCTAACTCGCGGGGCTCCGTTCTCGCGATATTATCCCAAATCCTATTTAAAGTCATAGAACATAACCCTTACATTTCACTTCCTACAGTATTTGCAATGTACTATTGAAAAAGGGAATATATTTCAAATACAATAAAGTATACTTTTTTCACTAGGGTGGGGATAATCATATGTAAAGATCAGATAAAAAGATCAAAACTGAACTTTGAACCTCTTATTCAGTCTATCCAACGCAAATGAAATTCTTGGTTACAGCGTGATCTGTCTGTAACAGGTAGAGTCTTGCTTTCCAAAGCAGATGGGTTATCTCGGGTTATCTATCCTGCAATGGCTCTGGATGTTTCTGTGGAGATTTGTAGAATGCTGCAGCTGGACAAAATGATGGTAAACTTTGTTTGGAAATCTAAAGTTCATTTAATTAAAAAGAGTGTTATGATAGCTGATCGGACAGTGGGTGGGTTTGACTTATTGGACTTTTCCACTCTTAATAATTCTTTCAAGATTAAGTTGATAAAATCTTTTTTGAACAACCCTAAATCTTTTTGGAATATTATATTTTCAGCTCAGTTGGGGGTTTGCATTTTTTGTTGCGCTGCAACTATGACATCTCTAAAATCAGTGTTGGGAGTAACGGCGTTTGAGTATAACGGCGTTACTAACGGCGTTATTTTTTCAGTAACGGGGTAATCTAATTAATTATTTTTCCCATTTTTGCAACGCCGTTATCGTTACTGAGAATGTAAAGTGGCGCGTTACTACAATTTGGTTGAATGAAGCGCGAGATGTCAGTGTGTGATGCACATCAGCTGCCTGGAGAGAGCAGGGGTGGGGGGATGATGACACCGTTGCAAATGCGATGATGATTGGCTGGGTGGGCGGATGCGCTACTCACGTGCTGTCTCACTGCACACTCTGACTACCACTAAACACAAGACAGCGACAATGGCGATGACGAGCCAGGGAAATTCAAAGGTAGCGTTCTCGAACTGGAAGTACCGGCACTATTTCTCGCTAATTGAAATTAAATGCAAGAATGTTTATGTAACATGCACGCTATGCCCAGGAAAAAAGACTTTATCCACATCTGCCTCAAGCAACTCAAATCTTATGAAGCACCTCACATCAATACATGCTAACACAACACTTGTTGCTGCTGCCAACCCAAGCCCAAATGCAGCTAGCGTGAGCTCCAGCAGCGAAGGAGACGGAGCCACTCTGTTAAAGCAAGCAACACTCGATTTTTCGGGTCAGCAACAGATGACCAAGCCAGAGCTGAACACATTGATTGCAAGGTATGTTGTTGAAAACATGCTACCCCTGTCCACTGTGGAGTCTGAGTCATTCAGAGCTATCCTTGCTAAAATACCAATACGAGGAGGAGGAAGGGGGGTTGCCCCATGCCGAAACACTTTTGCTAAATTCATAGACAGTGAATATGAAAATATGAATATTGAGCTCAAAAAGTCATTTGAGGAACTCGAGTACATTTCAACTACAGCAGACATCTGGACTGCCCACAATAAAAGTTAAATGGGTGTGACAGCACATTGGAATAATCCAAATAACATGGAAAGAGAGAAAGCAGCTCTCGCCTGCAGACGGTTTAAGGGGAATCATACTCATGACGCTATTGCAGTTGAGCTTGATAATATACACTCAACATATGGGATAACACATAAAATCACAGCAACAGTGACTGATAATGGCTCTAATTTTGTTAAAGCATTTAAGAGGTACCAGCCACTTGAGGAGAGTGATTCTGAAGAAGATGATGAAGATGAGGTGACATTTACAGACATTAATGATGCTCTACAAGCAACTGATGATAATGATGGTGATGTTGTGATCACTTTGCCCCCTAACAAGAGATGTGCATCACACACACTTAACCTGATTTCATGCACAGATGTTGACAAGTGGCTGCTGTCAAAACCTGCAACAAAGGCTGTTTACAGAAGTGCTACTGCCAAATGTTCTGCCCTATGGAACAAGACTAGTCGATCAACTTTGGCTACTGAAACAGTTGATGAGGTGGTGTCAAAAAAGCTGCTTGTACCTTGTACAACACGATGGAATTCCTTCTATGATGCCCTGGCTCGAATTTGTGAAATATCCATGGTAGACCTTAACACCATCTCCTCCAAATTAGGACTGACAGCGATAACAGAAAGGGAACACCTGTTTTTAAAGGAGTACTGCACTGCGATGAAGCCCCTTACAGTTGCCCTAGATATACTTCAGGGAGAAGACAACTGTTTTTATGGTACATTCCTACCAACGATTGAGACATTAATGCTGAAGACAGAAGCCCTTAAAAGTGGCCTGCAAATACTGAGGGACCTTCCTGACGCCATAGTCACAGTAAGAACTTGAATTGAATATTTTATGTTTTATTAAGTGACGTTGTATGATAATACATACTACTACTACTACTACTACTACTACTACTACTACTACTAATTATAATAATAATAATAATAATAATAATAATAATAACAACACTGATTTGTGTTTTGGATACATTTAATGTGATTATTCTTATAATTTCAGGCTATCAAAACCAGATTTGCTGATGTCCTGGGAAATGAAGAGGCTACACTTGCTGCTGTAACTCTTCCAAAATTCAAACTTCGCTGGCTGCGGTCACAGGAGTTAAAGGATAAGGCTAAGGCAAGTTTGCTGACAGAGTGCCGTAAGATTATCTTCGAAGAACCACCACAGCCAGGTACCACCAGCACATCTTCACATCACACAGATTCAGCCAAAGAGAACGATTTATTTTCCTTTGAGGAGGATGAGGAGGACACCTCCTCTTCAGCAGAAAACCAGGTGGCAGATTATATTAGATCTTCAGCACAAAACTTCAACTCTCTGTGTGGATTTTCTCTTATCAAGAAAATTTCACTATACGTTACAATGCTGCTACTCCATCTAGTGCACCTGTTGAGAGACTTTTCAGCCTGGGCAAGCTTGTCTTCTCTCCAAAGAGGAACAGACTGTCAGACAAAAGATTTGAAAAGCTTCTCCTCCTACGTTACAACCACTGGTTTAGTCGTTAGATGAGAGGAGTATTTTAGTAGATTAATGTTGTTAATTTTCACTGAGAACGAACAACATGTTAATCTCCTTAGAGAGTTGGATAGTTTATTGGAACTAAACTATCTGTTTATTGTGCAATAATATACAGGTACAGAGATTTGCACTACTTAATGGCCAGATCTTCCTTTGTTTCTTTTTACCCAAGTTTACATTTGTGTGCTTAGTTTTGCATTTGATTGCAAAGTGTGTGAATAACTGAATATTATTTATTTTAAATATTTAACTTTTATTACTTCACTAACTATTTAAGAGTTGGATAGTGCTCTGTTTATTGTGCCGTAGTATTATACAGATATAGATAATTGCACTAATTAAAGGCCAGATTTTCCTTTGTTTCTTATTACTCAAGGCTGCTGTCAAAGCAGCAGTGTGTGTCTTAGTTTTGCACTTGAATGAAAAGTGTGTGAACATTTAATTTTGTTAGTGTACTGAATATTTAAGAGTTAGATAGTGTTATGTTTATTGTGCAGTAGGCCTAGTATACAGTTACAGAGATTTGCACTACCTAATGGCCAGATTTTCCTTTGTTTCTTTTTACCCAAGTTTACATTTGTGTTTCTTAATTTTGCACTTGAATTTTACTTTCAATATTTATTTTTTATGTTTTTATTTCAATGCATATCAAATGGCAGGCTGCAATCTATTGAGTTCAAATAAATACCAAATGTTCTAAAATACTGTACATAGTGTTCTTATTCTTCAATCAGTTAATATAAACATCTTTAATGTTAAATATGTTATAGAACTTAATAGCGTTATAGAACATAAATAACATCAGTTACTTTGCTGAGCAACTAATTACTTTTACAATGTGGTAACTGAGTTACTAACTTAATTACTTTTTGGGAGAAGTAATTTGTAACTGTAACTAATTACTTTTTTAAAGTAAGATGACCAACACTGTCTAAAATACCTTTAACTCTTTCTAGTTTTCATAAACAGGCTTTAATATGCTGGTCCCTAATATATAATTATAGGTTTCCTCCACATAGATATTTTATTTGGAATAACCAAAATTTTAAATATAAAAATAAATCTATTTTCTTTAATAATTGGTTCGATAAAAATATATATAGTTTTAGTGAGTCAACTTTTAGATGAAAGGGTTTTTTTGCTCTCTTATGAACATTTTATGCAAGAATTCTCTTTTCCAGTCCCCCCAAGAGAATATGCTATGTTGTTGGTGCAATTCCTGATTGTGTGAAACCTTTGGTCAATTCTGGCCTTAAAGGACCTTTAACCTCTCCACCTATGGTTTTGTTGACCAATGTCTTTTCAGTAGATTGTCAAATAAGAAAATTTGCTCAATTCTTAACAGAAATCAGATTTCTTTACCTGCCTGTGCAAGTTTTTGGAATAATAAATTTGATGATATGGGTGGGAGGCTTTCTGGCTCTTTCAGCAAAAACAATTCTTATCTAATAAAGTGTTTGAAGTCTCAATTAAAATGATTCACAATTACCCAGTTAATTATAATTTTGCTAAATTCAATAAAACTATTTCCCTCTTGTGCTTCTTTTGTCATCGGTTTGATGAAACGATTATTCATTTGTTTTGGGAATGTATCTATTGAAAAATCTTTTGGATTGACTTTTCAAATTTCATTAAAAGGTATCTTTCTTTAGACTTCTGTTTAAACCAAAAAATTATGTTGTTTGGTGACTATGAAATTAGACCCCTTTCATTTTAAATTTGTCCTTAATTTGCTACTTTTTCTTGCCAAATGTTATATTCACAAGTTTAAATTTTCAAAGAAAATCCTTCTTTGTTATTTTTAAGAAAGTTATTGATATGTATTTAAATTCATTGAAGAAATCTAAAAACTCTACCGCATGCAAGACTCTGCAGTACTGCCGATCATTTAAGCTTGTTTAATGTTATTTAAGTTTATGGATTGTAACCCTCTGTTTTGTTGTATTGTGTATTTAATGTCTTGATTTGTATTTGTTTTTTCTACATAAAAAACAGAGCTGCTTCAAGTCGATCACTGTATGCTGCTTTCGAATCAGTACTGTGATGTCATACACCAATCGTCTGTACTCTGTACAGTGCTGCTTCAAGTCGATCACTGTGCTGTATGCAGTGGTGGAATGTAACGAAGTACAAATACTTCGTTACTTTACTTAAGTACATTTTTCACGTATCTTTACTTTACTTAAGTAGAATAAATAGCGCATACTTTTTACTTTTACTTCGTTACATTTTGCAGCAATTATTCTACTTTCTACTCCATTACATTTCTACAACTTCTGTTACATTTTCATTATATTTTCTGATCAGTTTTTCCCCTGCCAAAACGTAATCGGACCGTCCGTTCGTTGCACGTTTGTCTCACCAGTGACGTTTGGTTGCCATAGATACAGTACATAAACTAAATGCGTCTCGCACGCAGTGTGTTTATCGTGCAATTTATACGCGAAAATTTGTTTTTACATGCACAGGAAACACACGGTGTGTAATATCAGATACGTTTGGTTAGGATTATGGCAAGCCAAGAGGTTCAGAATTACACCATAAATTAATCGCGTTTACTGCCAAACATAGTTATTAACATAGGATATGGCTTATATTGCCTAATTGCAAGCTTGTTTCAGAAATGGTGACAACAATGTTTTTCCATCATTATTGAACATCATTATAGGAGTGTTAGGTTGAATGAGTTAGACTTAAATGTTTTATTAATCATTAGAAAATAGTCATTAAGAGAATCAATTATAATGCAAGTACTTTTACTTTTAATACTTAAAGTACATTTAAAATCAGGTACTTTTTACTTTTTACTTAAGTATGGTTGTCATTGTGTTACTTCTACTTTTACTAAAGTAAATATTTATCTGATTATTTGTACTTTTACTTAAGTACTGAGATTCAGTACTTCCTCCACCACTGGCTGTATGCTTTCGAATCAGTACTGTGATGTCATAGCTACACCCAGGGATGTAGTAGTGGAGGCTAAATGCATGTAAATGACGTTCACACACCTCCCATTTGGAGGCTCCCAATATTCGGGAATTGCTTTTACCCACCTCCAAAGTGCGTTGATCCACCTCTCAATTGCGTTTATCCACCTCTAAATATCCTGTAGTTCCTAAGACATTTTAAATTAAGCTTATGTTGTTTTAGAGTATTCTTCATTATTCATAGGTTGTTAAACCTAAGACGAACTCTTTCATATTGCGCTGCATTACTGTCAGTGTTGTTGACTACCGGTATTACTGATGGTAAGGTTGCACTGTTGACGCTCGCGCAGCCTCAGAGCAGAAATCTATACAATGAGCGCAGCACACACACACTCAGTTAACAACATACATACTGCCAATAAAAATCTAAATGTGGAGTTTTATATTTTTAACATATGTTAAGCAACCTCATTTATTTTCCTGAACACTATCACGATTGAAAATGTGACATTGATTTCCTACAACAGTTCAATAAACAGTTAAAATTAAATCACTTATATTTTAGATGTAATATTGGGTGTTTTTGTTCTGTTTTAGCAGCGAAAATAGTTCCAAACAAAAATCACAGCGGAAGCATGGCGCATCTCACAAAACACTCAACCTGTTTTAATTCCTGAATGATTCAGCATTTTGAACGAATCAATTGAGTCAAAGATTCAATGACCCATTCATAAACATCTGTCTCATTCTTGAATGAATCAGCCGTTTGAAAGAATCGTTTGAATGAATTAATCAATGACTCACTCATTAAGATGGTCGCCTGCCACCACCTACTGGCAGTTTAGTGTTAAATGTTTAACAGTAGTATCATTCTTTCCAAAATTTCTTATATGTAAATTAAAATCAATTTCATAACATTATTTCATGCAATTGTAATTTTTCAGTGTAAATGATTTAATTTTAAATCAACCCCTAGGGTAACAGCCCTATAGTGTCTTATTATTCTAAATAATTGAATTTATTGATCAAATTTAGGAATTTAAAATGAAAGATGAAGCATATACAGCCCATTCTCACCCCCAAGGCGTCACTTAACTGACGCCTTGGGAAGCATTTGGACATGCTTCAATATCTGACGCTTTAGGCGCCCTTTAGCGTCAGTTAGATGACGCCCTAGGATCGCATGTACCCTACCCCCACCCCACACCTAAACCTAACCGCGTCCTCTAACTCAGTGGTTCTCAAAGTGGGGTCCGCGGACCCCTGGTGGTCCGCGAGCTAAAGCCAGGGGGTCCGCGAAACAATTTACAACCTAACGTTTTTTTCCATGCTATGAGTCATGTTTTCTTTATCATCTGAAAACATGCTGTTTATTCCTAAGTAACTTATTTAAGCATTTAACATAAAACAATACAAAGTAGACACTTAAAGTTTTCTATAGATAGATAATCTATGTCTTTGCGTCAAGTAGACTATTCGCTGCTGTTGATTTTGCGGGACGTGCGCCAGAAAGGAGACAGAGAGACGGCATGAACCCGCATCCGGTTCTTTTCTGTATTTTTAAAAGGCATGAAATTTTGTAGTCATTTATAATGTAGCCTATACACAAATAAAAAAATGGACACTTTACCGTTTCGGATGATGCACTCTTGTCTTATCTATGACCATAAATAAGAGTATTCCTGTTTCCACTGCTGAGGAAAAATTCCCATGTAATTGCGCCCCGGCGTCTCGCGTGCGCTCACAATAGTCAGTTCTAGCACTGCTACTGTAGATTTGACATTAGAAGTCTGATCATTATCAAAATAAAAGTGCATAGTGACAGGGCCGTACCCACAACTGAGGTTGCAAGGATGCACATCGCGATGATACTGACCTTCTCGTCTGAGGTGCTTCAGCAGACTAACAACGATAGCTCGTCAATGTCAAAATGTTTGAGTCGGAGTGAACTCAAAGTTCCCCGCACGACGTTTCAGTCAACGGTCATAAAGTGCGAGATAAGATGTAGGCCTTAATTAACATAAACTAAACAGCTGTTTTAGATAAAAGTTTTAAAAAACGACT